TTTATTTATTTATTTATTTATTTATTTATTTATTTATTTATTTATTTATTTATTTATTTATTTATTTATTTATTTATTTATTTATTTATTTATTTACTTTAAGGTTTAGGATTTTATTTTATTAGTTTATTAAAACTTTAATATATATATAAAGATAGAAATTGGATAACGAAAACGTTATTAATTAATTTATAAAGGGGCAATTGTTAGGATGCTATCCCGGATACTATTTTATAGTAAATAGTGTTGCTAGGATACTATTTTTAAATATATATATATATTATATTAAACATTATCCCTAGGACAGTGTTTAGGGATGCTATTCCCGGATGGTATCCGGAGATAGAACTTAATAAATATAATAACTTTTAACCTATAATTCTAATGCCTTATATTAATAATTAATATAAAATAATAAATGATAAATAATACTTATTATTTTAATATTAAAAATATATTATATAATATATAATATAATATTTAATAAAACATGTTTTTTAAAAAATTAAAAGTAAACTTTTAATTACTTTTAATTAAATTAAATTAATTACTTTAATTACTTTAATTAAACTAAAGTTTTAATTTAATTAAATTAATCATTTATAGCTTTAATTAAGATTAATTTAATTATTCACTTTATTGATTTTTAATTAAATTAATCACTTAAACCTATAATTAAAATTAAGATTAATTTAGTTACTTATAATTAAGACTAAGATTAAGTGATTAAATTACCAACCTTAATATATATAAAATATATATATTTTAAAGGCTTTAAAATATTATAATATAATAATTAATTAATTTAATTATTTATTTAATTACTTTAATTTAATTAATTATTAACCTTATTAACCTATTTTATATAAAAAATATTAATATATTAATTATATAATAATTTATTAACTTTATAAATATTAATTAATTAATGCATCTCTTACTTAATTTAGCTACCCCCCCCCCCTCAGCTTATATAAAAAACATTAATGCATTAATTATATAATAATTTAATAACTTTATAAATATTAATTATATAAAATAATAAAATATATTATTTAATATATAATGAAAAGGGCTATTTAACGGTACCCTTTATTAACTTTTATAACCTATATTTATAGAGTTATTAAGCAATATGTTAAAGTAAACGTTAAAATAATCCTTACCTAACGCCCTTTTAGGGTATTGCTTAATATCTCGTTTAATAAATTTTATAAAATATAGTAAAAAATACCCCTGGATTCCTTATTAAATAATGAATCTAATGGTACTAATTATTAAATTGTGAAACTAATATTGGTTAAGTTATTACAGATTAAAACATTGGGTTTTTATATAGGTTAGGGGGGTGGCCAGGTTAATTGGGTGGCCAGGTCAAGTAAAAGATACATTATATAAAATAATAAAATATATTATTAAATTTATAATAAAAAGAGCTATTTAATAGTATTCTTTATTAATTTTTACAACTTATATTTGCGGAGCTATTTAGCAATATACTAATATTTACTTCTTAAAGGGTTATATTTTAAACTAGGAAATTGGGTAAACGGGGACCTTAAGGTAAACCTACGTCAAGAAGACAAGGGCCCTCGTAAAATCTCTGCGCAGCAGACGCATCACACAGACAAAACACGAACAACATAAACAATACACTGAATTCTACATACCATCGCTTATATCTGACAGATATGCGATATCATGCCATATCTTTCGACTATAAACTTAACTGTATGGCAGGGCCGTTTGAAAATCACGACTTCTAGGACTACCCGGCGCAACTAGGTACTAATCTGGATATACAAGATGATAAAAATATCGTTTAGGGTGTGTTGGGGGGCTATTACCTTTTACTGAGCGACAAGCGGCCAAATATCACCGCCACGATGGTGAATTCTATCGTGCATTGCTGCTTGGTTGACTACACCGCGCGAACTCGTGAGGAATCTAAGCCGGCTATTTAAATTTTAGATGCAGCAGTAGCCTAGACTTTTTCCGGGACTATGCAATAACATGCCTATATCTCGCGCATGTCATATGGGCGAGTGCTACTTTGACGATCACCCATCCTCATCAGCGTTCGTCGCAAGCCCCAGTTATGGCATTGTTGAGATGAAATCGATACCTTGAGAAATACTCCCGGAATCTCGGCCTTGGTGTGTAACGCCTTTGCCTTCCCGATGAATTGTAATTCAGGGCTTTTACTTACTTACATTCCACGAGATCAAAGAATGCTCATTGTGCATACAGGTACTGAGCCCCGTGGCGATACATGCAGATCAACCTCCGATACCCCATAAACAACAGCTAGGTGAGGTGCAATAATTACCCTACAGTCTATATGAGATGAACGCGATGTCCGAGGGCAAGAAAGTAGAAGCTTAAGGCTTAGACCATCAATAGCTCTTCGTATACACCTTCTAATTCTAAGGTGCAGATACTATCGCCCTTCTATTCATACGGCGCCGACCACCGAGTGGCGCGGTAATTCCCTTCAAACCGCTTCCCCTCCATTCCTCACAGCAGATTCCTTCGCTATTCTCCCTCTCACCCCCTCTCTTCTGGTGTCGTCTAACCTCACTCACTTCATCCCCAGTCTATGCTCATCTAAATGCAGACCAGTCAAAATTCAAATTTACTCACCGGTGACTCCGTAGCTTCGTACCCGGCTGAAAAAGAAAGGCTTATCGTTCTTCAATGTAAACTGTGCCCAGTCATCCGTGAGTCGGTTATAGCTCCAAAACCCTTGCCACACGAGTTTGTTGTTGCGCGTCGACCGCCCCGCGCTGCGTAATGACAGGTCTAATCTATACGTGTATTTGGCGCCTACCGCGCCCTCTGTCTCTATATACAAGTCGCCTTCGCTTTGTGATAGGCTTGGGGTTTCTGTACTGTTTTGGGTTGGGGTGGCCTTGGGGGCGATGATGTTGGGTGGCGCGTTGCGTTGTGTACTTAAGATATTGCCGATGCCACCTTCGCCTCCTTGGTGGGACTGATTTCGATGATCGCGCAGAGATGAGAGTCGCCAGCGACCTTTCAAGGCTGATGCCATTACGGGTGCGGGGAGGTGGTGCTGCTGCTGATTCTGATGCGATGTATCATTTCCACGGCGTAAGGAGGGGAGGTTATCGCGGGTCAGATAGTGCACAACGTGCGCTGGTTCGTCGGTGGTCGTCAGACTTATGACAGTTCCATCTCGAAATAAGCGCAGATAGCGGTAATACGTCACGATGTGCACCGGCGTGTTCCACGTCAGTGTATGGCCGGAATTCTGCCCCGGCCGGATGTAGTTCACCGTGCTGATGTAACACCCGTTGAAGCGCACACGAGGTCGCCGCCGAAACATGGACAGCCAAGTCGCGTAGCCTTTTACGCCGCGGTAGAGTGCCAGTGTCGTGGCGTGCGCCTCAGCTTCACGGCGGCGATGAAAGTCTTCTACCGTGTAAATTCCTCCGTCCGCCTCATCGTCTTCGTATTCGAAGTCGGTGACGGCGTCAGATAGTGTCACCGGTTTCCAGTTTATGGATCGTTGGAAGTGATGGTGCATACCGCCAAACCCGAATTCGGAGCCCAGACATACGCGCCGCCATATCCGATCCTCGGCCATGACAAGATAAGCAAGTCGCTTGCAAACTTGAGAGAGTCGCACAAAATCACCCACATCAGCTATTGCGACATCCTGAAGAATGTGTACTAGGATCTCATCTGGAAGTGTAGCGATGGGGCATGGGGGCGGCTCTACCCCTTCGCACTCGGGAGGCTCGCCCTCGACAGTCAATCCCGCAAAGCTGGCTATAAGATCTGGGAATGACAAAGGAATGGCATCATCCGCATCACCGCTGGCGGCGCCGCGGTCGCCTTGTCGCGAGGGCTGGGTGGCGTTAGGGACTGCCACGGTTGTTTCAGGCGGGTTGGTCGGCTGTTTCTGAGCTGGTTTCGTCCAGCGGCTCGCAAAATGCTTATCCCGGTATTTGCGGTCAACGTTGTCATCCATTCGGAACGCCCTGCGATACAGCTGTAGGCTATCTCCGAGCTTACCCGTAGACTCTCTTTCGGCGGCATGCTCGTAGAAGTCAAGTGCGGTTTCAGGCTCCTTGGGCTTTTCGTTTAAATGGCTGTCCAATGTATGACCGCTGGCTACTTTAGCCACCGATGGGCCGGCAACGTCAAATGCAGGTGCTGGAACATAGTCATCCTCGTCTTCATCTAATTGACCAAGCTTAGTAGAGTATGCTGGCCCCTTGGTATGTGAGGGAGGCTCATGCCGTCGGGGAAGCCTATTGGATGCTGATGATGAACCGACACTTAGCAGCGACTGCTGATCACGGGTTTGTAGAGTTGATGTCGATGACGATGACGGTTCTGCATGACTTCTCGCTCGAGATGAGACTTCTTCCCGCCACTGTTGCCTAAAACTCTCCAGCTCGCTTTGAATCGGATCTGGTGGTTGCTCCATCGGGATGACTTGCTAGATGCTTAGTAGAGGGAGATGTGCTCGGATGCGATGTTCAGGGGTTGGGTATTATGATAAACAAGATATCTAAGCGATCCTAACTCTATCACTTCGGTTTCAATCTCACACCTGAGCCCTATCCCGGCGTGTCTAACATCGATCAGCTGCGAGCCTGCTGCGAGCGGTATTGATGTGGCGGATAATATAGACAAGAGCTTGTCGTAAAAGGCGTTATCCAGGGCTCAGCGGCCAGAGCAAAGGCGGTCGCATATATACATATGATATATGAGACAGATGACAGCTAATATGTCTGTGAAAGCGAACAACAGAGCAGGACTGCTGCACTACACACGGGAGAGAGGGTAGAGAAAGGAGCTGGCAAGTCAGTCATACCGACACTACCGGTGAGACTTGTACCTTACTAAAGTAACTGGTCTCCATCGGTATCGTCATGAAAGCGGATTAGCCAGCTACGCTGATGCATCTGATTGGTTATCGGTGGCTGTGTCAAGTGGCTAAGCATTACAGTATCTCTATATATCTCATACGGTACAACCGTATCATAGGTGAACCTGTCTACGAATTTCCTTCGTCATTCCCATGGCGGGAGTGTAAAAGACTGAAGTGTTTATCATAAGTAATCCCAACGGAGCCTCAAGCATCTGCTAAACGAGACTCGCCTACAGCAGTCCGTGGTAATTAATGTGCTATCTCGAGCTATAAAGCGGTGAAATATACGTCTGGTTTCTCCGTCCCGACTACAACATAGCTCCGTAACGCTTTTAACTCACGCAGAGCATGATACCATTGTCATTGCCTATCCGGCGTAAGGTCGGGACACGGTGGGCTGCGCCCAAGGAGCGAGAGGGATGGACTTGTATGATGATAGGAGACTACCTACACTACGTAGGTATGATAAGAATGATCTGCTGGTCCCATGAATTTCTGGCGCGGTGTAGTCAGTCAAAGGATTCCCAGAGAATGCAATGAAAACATGTCCAACTCCAGCATATTGGCTGGATCTTATCTCATATCGGTATAAGTGTTGTCAATCCTCTCTTAAACCTCATGTCGCAGAATCATCCGTAGCACAACGTCGAAGGCTGAATAGTACGCAATCTATCATGCCACAAGTCAGAGTGGGCTGAGAAGGAACAGTTTATCTAAGAAACACGGGAAACAAGTCGCCTGAAACAAGGCGATTCAGACTGCAATTCTAATATCTAGCTGATTAAACATCCGACTTTTTTTAAGAATCCATGAATACTCGATAACCGTCTCAGGGCAAGGAAATCTAGGTTTCCACGCCCAGCACGCCCAGCAAGTTGACAGATTTTGGTGTCACAATGTAATGTTCCAAGCTGTACAAATATATCATTTACGGGACGTAGATTAGTGTCCACGCTGCCCTCAAATTGCCCTAATAGTCGCAGCAGGGGGCATCAATCATCTTCTACCAGCAACAGCTAGTGAGCGCACTTGTTGTAGTTGATATGGGAAAATGGGATAGGCAAACCATCAGGGCCACCCACCTCACGTGTTTGTAGCACTCTCGCCTGTGCCCCATCTCTTCGTCTCGTCACCTCCCTCCCACTCCTTCTCCACGTAGCCCAAGAGCTTCTTCACCTCGGCTACTTTGGCCGAATCGCCTGTATTCTTGCCAATGTTGTCGCTAATCTTGACGGCAGGGTTGCCAACAGCAGAATTTAACTTGATGACGATGTTGAGTGGCACGGACTTCTTGCCTGTCGACAATTGTGTAAAGTCGTTTGTTAAATAAGTCCCGACACCAAAGCTTGATTGAAAGCCTTGCTCATCGGAGACGCGTTTGTACTCGATGCACTTCTCGATATCGAGGGAGTCGGAAAAGACGATCGTCTTCTTGTCCTTGATGCCTTGGCTATCGTAGAATTCGTGCATCAACTTCACGAAGCCAGCAGGGTCCCCTGAATCTTGACGGACACCGGTGAATATCTGCGCATAGGACCGTGGAGGCTTAGTGGCGTCCGTAGTCGCACCTGTCGTCCCGGGAAGATGTCTCACGGGTTTGCTGAATGATTTTAAGAAGGCGGGGGTACCAAAGGTATCTGTGAGGGCGATCCCCAGCACGCCTTCGCCAAAACAGGCTACCCAGCGGCGCAGCGCCTCCTCATTAGCGTTCTCATAGTCATTCGTAATAGCTGCGATACCCATAAACCATTCATGAGCCACGGTACCAATGGGTGCCAGGTTGAATCGCATAGCAAGGTGGACATTGCTAGTACCCGTCAACTTTCCCGATAGGCCTTGCTCTGCAGCTTTCTTGCTCGCGTTCACCAAGCCCCGGAATACCAATGCCTGAGTGTGGTAGTCCCTACGTCTTCGAGTGCCAAATTCGGACAGTGTGCAGCCTGCTTCTAAGATGCGCAAACCTTTCTGGAAAGCTTTCTCCTCCTGTCCGTCGTAGGTCCAGTCGGTATCCATGAACTTGAAATAGGCCTCGGACGTCAAGGCCAAGAGGGGGATCTCATAGAGAATGGTGTCTACCCACTTGCCGCTGATTTCAATGTGGATGTCTCCGATCACATCGTCGGCACCGGTGTCGTCTCCTATGGGGTTGAAGATGGGCTTCAGCTGCTCTCGCGGCGACAGGCGGAACTCGCTGAGAAAGCCAAGGTAGGCGTCAGTCAGGTATGTGCAATGTGATTTGAGGAAGCGCAACTCTTCATCTTTCAAAGAGATGTGGCCAAGCTCTTATGGCAGATAGTTAACACAAGGCATTCCAAAGGGGTTGTCGGACGAGTGAAACACGCACTGTAGATCTGTTCACACAACCAGGTGAAGGCCTTTCTCGAGAACTTCTTCTCGGGGGTTCGGTTGGTGAAAGCATAGGTCACGTGGACGTCAGGGTAGTGCTGAAAGACAGCATTCTGCATGGTCAACTTGTAGAGGTCGGTGTCCAGGAAAGATAGGACTCCTTCCGGGTAGTCGGAAGACCAGTTGAAGTCCATGTTGTTTGGCCGGGGGATAGGAAAGCTTAGGGGTCCCTCTCGCTGGATGTACTGTGCAATGAGGGTGAGGGTGAGGGTGAGAGGGGTTGACCAGAGAAGCTGAAGGCTGTCGGCGGGAGAGAACCTTGTCTATTATATATTGCTCATGGAAGTCAGTGTGCTTGTGATGGCTCTTCTGTTACTGGCGCTGACTCACCAGATGAGACGAGCAAACGAATGTAAGCAATGTATGTACGTAACGTAGAGAAGTGCCTCTAGAAATGTCTCTAGAAATGCCTCTAGAAGTGTCTCTCACGAGCTCCAGAGCTCCGGAGCAGCATGTACCTAAGTACCTCGCACACGAAGTTGCCTACCGTAACCTACCACCATGTAGTCGGGAACTTGAAGTGACACACACCTGGAACCTTGAAGAAGGGGTCAATGACTCGTGTTGCTTGTACTGTAATGTAGTGATTACCTAGGTATATATTTGTATATGCCTAGCCTTGTCTACCTACCTACCTAGGGTATGGTCTTTGTCCGGTCCAGCTGTTGAGACTCCAACGGTTCACCCTGGACACCCTTCCCCCCCACTTTGGCTCTATAAAAAACGATGAATGTTTTAATCTTGATTTAGGTACCTAGTATATAACTACGGTAATACCTAGGTAGGTACGCAGTGAGGTAGCACGCAGCGGGGTCCTCCGAGGTCAAATACCTATCCGCCGCCCTGCGTCACCGGCGCTCTTATCGATAGTCACGTAAGTATGGATATGTATATACTAAATATGTATGTAGTAAAGGGGGATGTCGGCTGTCCCATCTTCGGCGAAATCCTTTTTCCGCGGCAAAGAGGTGTGGACCCTCTGCGCCTAGCCTAATCGTGGCCTTAATGGACACGCAGCTTGAAGGGTAAAACGCTGGGTCAATTAATTCACAGAGATAGCTCCAATCCCCATCTCAAACCTCACTATACTATACCAATCCACGCGACTTCAGCTTGTCCCTTCTCCTTTGCCATCAACTACTCGGATCTCGTCGCGTTTAGGCGTGTATCTTAACAGGCCAATTTATTTCTTGTCTCCATTCATTCCCCTGAGTAAAATGGTGGGTTCTCCTAAAGCCCCCAATGCGCAAACCATGAGCTCTCCTGTCGCCAGCTTACCCCCTTTGCACACCCACATTGCACGTTCAATCCGTGCCATCTCACCAATTCTATACAGCTATCGCGTCTACCAGATATGAAATATCCATCTAACACAGATACTACCCATCTAGTCTTCTCCCCGCGCCTCTTCACCCGCCAACTCGCCCGCCGCCACGGGCGCGAGCACCGGCCGCCCTTCATCCCCCGCGCCACCTGGAGGTGCTCGAACTGCTATCCGACGACGAGCAGCCGCCGACCAGAAGGAGAAGATCGCCAATGCGCGGCCCAGTAGCACAAGAGCCGCCGGCGCTGGTGGCAGCAGCAGCACCATGCTGAGTATGTGCAATCTTTGGAATAGGGGTTCTTTATTGGAGACTTGGTGGAACGACAGTGTTGACAGATTCTAGGACTCTACACGGATGAATCCCCCGGCTTGAAGGTTGACCCCGTCGTCGTCTTGGTTTTGTCTCTGGTCTTCATCTTCAGCGTCGTTGCTTTACACAGTGCGTCACCCTTGCGCTTTGCGCCATCTGTTCTGATAACGGGAAGACGCCAACTAACTCCCTGCATAGTTATTGCCAAGATTACTCGCAAGTTCTCAAGCTAGGAACCTCCCTAAACAACGCCAACAACGACGACGACAACAACAACAACAACCGAATAGTATGGACCTTAATGAATTGCCCACGTAAATATATGTCATCGATGGCGCGGCGCTGGTTCCTCCAGGTTGCTGCGACTTGCGACATAGTATCTTGAGGACAAGCAGAGAATAGAGGTGGTGGAAGTAGACACCGGCATCGTGCAATGCTGCTGTAGATGGATGATTTCGCACTAGCAAGCCTACCCTAGTAGGTAGGTTGACACGAGGAGTTGGACGATTGGGGATTAGCATCTACTGTACTATATATACGGACCGCTGCAGGCTCATATCAAAATTTCTTTTCTGCGTCAATCAATAGCCATTTCTTCAACAGACAGTGTTGGCGCTCAAGCCAGAGGTTTCGATTGTGTTGAACGTGGGTACACACTTGCACCACCTTGAGCATTGAAGTATTAGCCGAACAAGACAGCTGTCGGCTGATTTAAGTCGTGGCTACCTATATCTCGCAAGTCCAAGACGAGTTGGTGGTGTTTGGCTCTTGGGCTTCTTCTGGTATTTCCCCTCTCTCTTTCACTTCTTGTCCCATGTGAGCCCTCGCTTTTATCAGTACCTAGACGTATGGAGAAATGGAGACCCACTAGGTACCTTTTGGGGTACCACTACCTACCTAGTACACGAGTAAATAGGACCTGCGAAGAATTTGCCTCTGTACAAGTATATTTTTCTCTAATTAACGCTTCAGGGTTCAACTATACAGTAGACGATATAATCATTGGTACCTCTCCGCAGATCTAATTTAGCTTTGAGGGCATCAAACACTACAAAATCACATGTGCTCAGGCCTGCTCAGGTGCCAGACTTGAGCGACGCTAGTGCTGGTAAGGTTTAGCGTGACCGACAGGCCCACACCATTAGGAACCTTGGCACCGAGGGTACCGAGTACCTAATCCTCCACTGGGAGGAAGGCCTGTCTGTCCTTGGCACTCTCCTTCGCGACTTCAAAGTCGACGTGCTCATTTATTTCAACGAACATCCATATCCCACCACATCACACGTTTGATCGCGCACTACCTCTCGAGAGCCTGTCAAGGCACCTTCATCTTGGTAGATTGCGCGCATACTCCTCAATTCTATGGGGTTTTAACAAACCTCGTCGCCGCTAACCCAGGCTTCCAGCCCATCCAGGCGAACACCACCACATCCATCCCCCACGCCGTCACGGCTGCCGATAGCTATCGCCCTCTTCCCTCCCCTTCCCTCCCCTTGCTTCTCCGGCGATGCGGCCGCCATCTCACAACCTCGTGTAGGCGAGCCACTAGAGCGTCGGACAGCGCTTTCAAAGTGTTACCGCCCGTGAACTCCGATAACTAGACTTAATCACACTTTACTGGACCCCCGCTCGATCGAGCTGCGTGCCGCTCACTATGGATGACCATCCGCAGTTTCCTTCAGCCGAGGCCGCCAGCGCCCCCAAAATCGCAGACACTACCGACACCACGAGCCCTGCCATCAAGGAAGAAGCCATGGATGACCAGAACCCCTCCTCTTTTGAGGACATCGACTGGGCCGAGCAGGAGCGCAAGGATGAAGAGGACATGAGGATGATGTTCAACGACGACCCCAGAACCTCGCAGGCCAACGGCCTCGACCTACACACCTTCGGCGACAAGATCATTGACCAAACCGACAAAGCCGACGATGCCGTCGATTTCGAGGATTTGAGCGACGATGATCTTGCCAGTGATGCCGGTTCTACTGATGCCCTCCCCGACACCGGTGCCTCCCATGTTCCCGGCCTGACAGAAGATGACGGCACGAGCCACGATACTGATCACCTCGATGATTTATTTGGTGGCGGCCTCGAAGGTGATAATGACTATCTTCCCTCATCCCCTCCACCGGAGGATACCGCTGCGACCACTACTATTGCTATAGCCAATGATGAGGATATAACTGCTATTGATGCTGCGTCCGAAAAACAGCCGACTGCCAACGTACCCCCCGATGAGCAGGATGAGGCAGCGAACGAGGCCAAGAACGAGAACGATGCGACACGCGAGGTGACAGACGAGGCTTGGCAGAACATGAGCTTCGAGGAGCGCTGGAGACTCAACTTCCCTCAATACAGCGTATCCATTGATAAATGGATTGGCCAGACCGATGAAGGGATGCAGAAGCCTTTGCAGAGCGCTGAGGATCTGGTACGCGAGAAGTTTCCCTACTTCACCGAACACAAGATCCTCCATTTCAATAAACTGCTGCCCGAATGGCCCGCAGAGTTTCAGTACAAGGAGCCGGCGAATAAGGACAGGGACCCTCCGGAATTCGTGCCCACCAAGTTAGAACTGGAACTCGATGCCGATTGTTCCAAGCTCTTCCGCATTCCCGACAATGCTATAACCATAGCCAACCAACGGACCACATATCACGACGCAGACGACTGGGCGAACCGCTTTGGCGGTGCGGTTCTGCTTAATCCAGAGGATGACTTTTCTGAATCAGACGATGATGAACTTGTGGGGGGATTCAGCCTCGACGAGATTTCGACCATATGTCAAGACTGGTGCTCTCTCGGCGATCAGCAGCTACTGCCAAAAGAACGTCTTATTGCTTCACACGGCGATGGCGTCGATGAGGAGATGGATGACTGGGATCGAGAGTTCCTTCAGTCACAACCCAAGGCAAAACGGCCAAAGTACGAACCTGGTCTTCCAGACATATCAACTTACGAGACCTGGGGCATTGATGATTTCGAGGAGGCTACGCGGCGATCCAGCAAGCGTGTGCGCTTAGATCCTAGTGATCCATATCTATTACTGGAAGACATACAGTCGGCACGGCCTTCAAAACGCCAGAAATTAGAAGAGAAGACGAAGCGCATGGCGAGTGGACAGCTTCGGAGAGATGTTATGCGTCATTTCAACATCTCCAACGATGATGCGTATGACGCTTTGAAGAACAATCACAAGAACAAAGTCCGAGCCACGCTATCGAGTGTCGGTGTTGAACATAGTTTGCCAGCTTTGAAACTCACGTTCCCCTTCTATCGCACCAAGTTAGAGGGGCAACCTTGGGAATTCCATCGCAAGAAGTTCGACATAGACAGGATCGTGAAACACAATATTGGTGTCAGAAAACCCGGAAAGGTCAGGAGAAAGGACATCAAAGGGCGGAGTACGCAAGAGATATTCAAGACTACCAAAGATCTCAGTCTAAATGATAACTCCACTGCTGTACTCTTCGAATACAGCGAACAGTTCCCCACCGTGCTATCTAACTTTGGTATGGGTAACCGTGTCATTAACTACTACCGCCGCAAAGAACGTGGCGACGATGAAAAGATACCCAAGCTTGATATTGGCGAGACACACCCCCTACTTCCCGAAGACAGATCGCCATTCAGTATTTTTGGTACTGTTGACCCTGGCGAGGTTGTCCCAACTCTCCACAACGAGATGTACCGTGCACCAATTTTCAAGCACGAGCCGCGTCCAAATGATTTCCTTTTGGGCTACACCACGAATGCCTCAGAGGGCCCAAGGTGGTTCCTACGCAACATCGACCATGTATACACTGTGGGCCAAGCCTTCCCTTCGATGGAGATACCTGGACCTCATGCCAGGAAAGTCACCAACACATCAAAGAATAGATTGAAAATGGTTGCATTCCGAATGATGAAGCAGAAAGAGACACAGGATGTATCATTGAAGGAGATCACGCCACACGTGTTCGAGAAAGAAGACCCGCAAAACAGGCAGAAGCTGAAGGAGTTCCTTGATTACAGCAAGGAGACGAAGACCTGGCATCTCAAGGAGAACGAGTCCATGATGGACGAGTCTGCTATTCGTGCCATGATCAAGCCCGAGGATGTATGCCTAGTGGAAGCCATGCAAGTCGGTCAACAGCTAATGGAAAATGCTGGCTTTGATCCCAAGGATAAAGACGATAACGAAGACGGAGTGGACGAACCCCTTGTTGTTCAGTTGGCGCCCTGGCGAATCTCCAAGAACTTTCTTGATGCGAGCGCGGGCAAGGCCATGGTTGCCCTGCATGGTGAGGGCGACCCTACGGGTCATGGCTTAGGCTTCAGTTTCATCAAAACGTCTATGAAGGGTGGCTACATCAATGCCGTACAAGGCCCGCTGGCTACATCGGCAGACGCCATTGAGCGCGAGCGCAAGGCCAACGGTGGACATTCGTACAATGTCAAGAAACAACAGGACATGTACAACGCCGCCATCCGGGAGATCTGGGAGCGACAGAAAACCACGCTTAATGAAAACACTACACACGAGGATTCCGATGTTCTTGATACAGCTAACGAGGACGATCGCTTCAACCAGAGACACGCCGATGCCACGCCTGCACCTGTAGATGATGGAAGAAGCCAGTTCAGTCGTTTCAGTGCGGCCAGTCGCAGCGGCAAACGTAAATTGAAAATCACGAGGAAGAAGAGGAATAGCGCGGGTGAGATGGTTACAGAGACTGTCGTGCTAGATGATCCTCTCGTCATACGCAACTACATGAAACAGAGAGCCGTCCTTACCGAAAAAGACAGAGAGTGAGTCTAGACGTTGTGCCAACATACAATCAACATAACCAAGAGTTAACAAGCGCATGCAGTGTCTATAGCATCATCCCGACTGCGGATGCCGATGACAACCGCGACAAGGTGAAGCTGTAAGCCCCCCCTTCCCCTTCCTCTAGTCTCCTTGTCTCCTTGTCTCTGGCCTTGGAGACAGAGTGCACAAGACTACATGTGCTGACATCCAGACAGTGTTGAGAAAGAATTGTCACGCCTACTTAAGAACCAAGATCGACGTCAAGTGCGCGAAAAGCAAGGCAAGGGCAAGAAGAAGGGCGCGAGCGCGAATGCAAGCGCTATTAACGCTGCATCTCCTGATGCCTCTGGCGATAAGGCGTCAGGAGGCACAACCCGGAAATGCGCTAACTGCGGGCAAGTGGGACATATCAAGACAAACAAAAGGTACTGGTGTCACTCTCATGTTATCCTCGCCTTATGATCCTTTCTATTCCTGTGTCCGGTTCCTAGTCGCCCGAGTTACTTATGAAATATCTACCTTTTCGTTACGTTGTCTTTTCTTTCCAATCTACAAGCTGGTGTTGAAACACTACTATAGCGCCCAGCGGTGCTAGAGCTATATTTCTAAGTTTCTTGGAGGCACAAAGTATCAGCTCCCTCAGCCTGAGCCCAAGTTCATCATTGTCACCTTGGCATGGCTATACTCGTGGGCAATTAGGTTAGCGCAAGCGAAGTCGTGAAGCCCTTTCTGTCTCCATTTCCTATTCCCCCAGCACTTTCGCATCAGTGTATAGGCACTCAAGATAGGCGTCGGGTTTGTGCTAACCAAGTCATGACACAACAGTAAATGCCCACTTCTTAACGGTACCATCACCACGGTTAATCAAGGCGGTGATCACGGCGGGTTTGGATCATTTAGTGCATGAGTCTTGGCAGCATTTAATCATGCCATGGATATAAGGGGCGAGGCAAAGGGACGAACGGGCGTCGGCCAACCGACATGTAGACAGAGAGGTATACTCTCGCTTCATAGGCACCCCCGTACTATGTGTAGAAATACATATGCATAGATAGCCTATAGGCTACACCCTTTCGTCTGGACTTCGTAGAGGATAGGGAAAATAATGTTATTAATTGCAAATATTCTTGTGGCCTTCGTGCCCTATGTGATACACGCCCCGAGTAAGTATAATACGACAGTAGGGCATCGATACATACCTACATAGCGTCCTCCGATCTTGGCCCCTCCCCCCCCCCCCCCCTTTTTTCTTCTTCTTTTTTCTAGAACTTTTCTGTTGCATTGCGGATCCTGGTAATTATACCCTTGCACCCACGTGCGTACCATATTTGAAGCAGCTATCCTACCTACTGCCTATGTGGATTTGGCGCCCGGTCCAGAAAGGAAGTACTGTAGTGAGAGAAAGAAGAACGGAAATGGACTGGCCGAGAACAGAAATAGGCAAGATCCTCAAAGGAGACTATTATTAGAAAGGAAGAACAGAACTAATAGGTAGTGTGCAATGTAGATAAGAGACGAGTAGACGATGAAATGCAAGGCAAGGTGCGATGACACGCATCTAAGTGCAGCTTTTTTTGTGGGCAAAAGCCACTTCCATGCATACTTGCTTGCATATTCTACGGGGAGAGGGAGAGGTACATATAGATAGATGTAGGTAGAAAGGTATGACTGTAGCTATGTAGGTAATGTCCACTGTATAGAAAGAGAATGCAGGCATACATAAGTAGGTACATACATGTACATACATACATCACACAGCCCCTGTTCAGTGCGAGCTATGGTAGGTAGGCATGGGATAGCCACGACGGCTACATGCCCATCGACCATGGTTCAGATGGAATCTTTGGGGGGTGATGGTGAAGTGAATAATCGTGGCATGTACGGGCGGACATGCGGACGAGGTTGGTATGGGTGGGTGGGATTACGCATATTTTGTTACCTGCGTACGGTCTATCTATGAACTTGGTATAACTTAGTTATCATAGTATTTTGATTGACTCACTCTTGAGTTAGGTATTGAGAGATATGGCACCTATGTATATATATAACGGCAAGACGTACAAATGGAAGTGTGGGGGAAAGCAGTATTCCATGTGCCTGTGTGTATTCAACATCAGCTTCCATCAATACGTGAAAAAAGGAAATGCCTCGTTTCTCTACAATATACGCCCCAGAGCCAAATGTTCAACGACTGTGGTATACAGTTTGTCCGTTGAGAACGCCGGTTTTCAGCTCTTCAAGGTCACTGCACTCCATGTGCGGGGGTTAATACCGCCCGTGATATGGTTCTAAGGTTAGCATGATATACTGCAGCAGCCATCATCACTCGGCCGCTTTCAACCCCGGGGCAGGCAGCGAGACCCTTTTGATTCCCGTTAGATCGGGACCGAAGAATCCAACAAAAGGTGGCTGCCTTTGACAGATGGCAGTGACGGTAGAGGTGCTTATACACTGTACATAATAAAGGAGAATAAGAAGAAGACAGGGAAGAAGAGCAAAAGATCGGTGAAGGTGTGACGTGACGATGCTGGCTGATGCCAAGTGATCGTAGAACTAGGTAGATGGGCAAGGCATACCTACCTCATACTGGGCTAGCGGCTGGCAAATACTACTTAAGTATGTATTCGGTAATATACCCAGAGAGATGGTGGTAATCAAATACAACCTCAGGATTACCGAAGCCTGGGCATTGGGTGGTATGGAATATTCTCTGTCGGCACGGCCCAACCCAAACTTGGAATTGAGGTTGGGGGGGGGGGGGGGGGGGGGTGGGCGTGGGGGGGGGGGGGGGGGCACAAACCAAACAAAGAAAAAAAAAAAAAAAATAAACGCAAAAACAAACCCCCAACCACAAAAAAACAA